TTTTTGCACCATTATTAAAAAAAATAATTCCAGAATACAGTTTGTATGTGTAAAATGTATCGATGGTTCTGACTAAAATGAAAATATAACTTTAAAAATAAACATAATAATTTGAGTACATTCATTTGAATATATAAAAGTTTAATAAAATTTGCCCTGAATTTTTGCCATTCAACTTTCAACTTTGTGTACTATGCCAACTGAACTAAAACTTTTTGAGAACATGTTTACAAGAAGTTGACATAATTAAAATTTTTACAGTACAATATGGGGTTAGTACATTGAAAATAGAATTTGCTGAACCCAAACCTGAATTTTTATTTTATTGAACCAGACCAAAAACAGAAATATGCCACACCAAAACTTTTATACAATTTAGTGTATGAATACTAAGTTATTCTGTCATATCGCAATTTATTGTGTTACTACTATATTTTTGGTTTTTATGAAACTCTGACCATAACATTACTAACTATGCCTAAGCATTTATCGAGTTAGAGTTACACAACCTTAACTAAATAGCTAAAGAATTATCAAGTAACTGCATCATAGGGCTGCATGTATGAAAGCAATATATGCTGCCCCACTGGGAAAATCTAAGTAACAAAATAATAAGACAGTATGAGTAACATTTTTTTTTTCCAGGATTTTTTCATATATTTCAGTGTTCTTATTTTGTTGCATTACCATCTTTTATTTTTTCACAAGGTCAATGAAATTTTTTATTATATTTTACATTTTCAGGTGAAGATAACAGAGATCCAGAGGGGGATGATGATGATCCTGTGCCATTAGCAGAATTTGAAGATCTGCCACTCCCCCTAGATGATGATGGTGATAATTATTGCACAATAGAAAGAGAAATAAATGAAGTGCATCCTCTTGGTAAGTCTGTTTTTATTTTTATCAGCTAAATTATTAAGTCTCCAAAATCCTTAATAATATTTTATAAAAACCTTGACAGCCTGGCATGGCCATGTGGTTAGGGCGTTTGACTCGCAATCTGTGGGTCGCGGGTTCGAATCCCGTCAAACCAAACATGCTCGCCCTTTCAGCCGTGGGGGCATATAATGTGACAGTCAATCCCACTATTCATTGGTAAAAGAGTAGCCCAAGAGTTGACGGTGAGTGATGATGACTAGCTGCCATCCCTCTAGTCTTACACTGCTAAATTAGGGATGGCTAGCACAGATAGCCCTCGTGTAGCTTTGCACAAAATCCATAACAAACAAAAACCTTGACTCTCACTACTGCATTACATAAGGTCACTCTTGAGTACAAAATGGTATGTCTACTTAAAAAAATTAATTAACATATATAGTCATGATGTATTCTAATAATTTTTGTGGCAGAAAATAGTATAGAAATAATATTTAGAATTATGTAATGGTTGTCTAGTTAATTTTGTACATGAATATTCAAAATAATGCTTAAATTGTTGTTGTTATAATGTCTGACCTAAATGATATATATTCCACTGAAAATTGTATTTTCTAAATTAAATAAAAGTTGGATGCACTTTGAATGAAATGCCCCCATATTGTTTTAACAGCATGTTTTAGGTGAACGATTAGATGGTTGTTATTTTATGTACACATATTTAAAGAGAGGTCATTAGCTACATCTGGTTACTAGTGATGTTGCTTTGGAACTTGCAGCAAAAAAATAAGAAAGTTAGGGGAATGTTACTCTAAGAAAAATTATCATTTAATGAAATCCAGCTTAATGAAAGATTCATTTAAGTTAGGAAGTATGGTTTTTGAAAACCATAGTAATATGTGTATACATATTTGATAAATTACTACTGATTTTCATATGTATATTCAGTATTTATTTATCTGATTCAACTTTGTAATTCAGATGTTAGTCAAATTGAGGACCTACCTATAGTGTCAAGTTATGAAGAGCTGGTTCAGAAGCATGTGGACAGATACTTATCTGGAGCAGTTGAGTTTAGACAACTCACAGATTTAGCTAAACATGTCAATGAATGGGAAGAAAAGATAAAGCCCAAGCTTGAACTAGAGGTTAGTTAGCTCATGTATTTATGAGATACAAAATAAACCAAACATAGTATCTTTTATGGATCTATAGCATATATCTTTTCATGTTTTGCATTTGCAGAATACAATAATTAAGAAAAAGTTGTGCAAATCAGATCATTATCAAAAACATTTATCTGGATTTGTTTCTTACATCTCCTGTAGCTGACACTTCTCTTGAAATATATTTGGCTTTGTGTTATATCCATGTGCCTCCTTTTTATCACATTAGCATTCAACAGTTCTCTGACTTAGGTGATGTATAGTCTCTTAGTTCACATATTTAGCAAATCCAAAAGTTAATCAAACTTTTAACTTTTTATACTTTCTTATTAGTTTTCTAACAATAATAAAGACTCAAAGATTCAGCTGCAGTGAATACTTTTAAAATGTTTTTGACCACTATAAAAGTGCTTGTATATATTTTACTGGGTATGTAACATGTATGTATATGTACTTAGAAAAGCTGTTCAATAAAACGTATCATTCTATATGCATCACTATGATATTTAGGGGCAGGTAAACAGTTTTTATATTTCGTACAATTAAAGTGATTTTTTTTGTCTTGATAAGAATTAAGGTTTACACCTTAGTTTCCAATTACTACTTAGTTTTATTAGGCCATTACAATCATACTTAGAAAGTACATTTGTATTTTTTTTTTAATTAATTAAGTGAAACCGGCATTGAGTTTTTAAATGTAGCATTGTAAATTTTATTTATTTAGCAAACATTTAAGGTTTGGAAAACAAATTACAATTACATTATTCTGCAATTCTCTTGTGATAAAATATTTTCTAGCCAATTAATATGCAAAAATGCCTTAATTCTTGGATTGTCATTATAAAGTAATGAAATATTTACACTGAAAATGTATTTTTCTGCTTTCATAATAGTTTTCTGTTAGTTTAATTTTTATTTTTCTTGCATTTATGATTTGTTGTCAAAACACTTCATTATAGTTTGTTTAAACAATGTTTTGAAAAGCTATTTAATACATGGTAGTGTCAGAGAGAGCCTTATGACATTCATGTTTATGGAAATGGTGTACTGGAGAGCTTTCTAGCCAATGAAAAGAAAGATACAATACTTTTCTCAGACTTCTGTCAAGGAAAGGAACACTGGGAAGTGTGTCGGTATTTCTTAGCAACATTGCAGCTGGTGAGTTGTCTGGATTCAAAAGTTTGAACATTACTTCAGATGTGTATCTTTTTAATTCAGAATTGGTGTTTACTATGTTGGATCTGTTGCCACAGTTTCTTGACCACAAAATATTAGGTTGTGTATGAGAAGTGAGTTATGTAAAAAGAGGTAAAAAGAATATATTGATAAAAGTATGATATAAAAATAAATGTACTTTTATTTTCTGCTACTGATACTTAGCACCTGTTTCCTCTAATCCAGTAGTCGGCAACCTTTTTTGATCGCGGGGCAATTATTTTTTTGTTGAAAAATTTAGCATTGTGTTGGGTCAGTGATATTGTGTTAATATCGGTACATGTATTTTAAATGTGTATGTTTATTTACATACAAAAAAATTAATAGT